TGAAGTGGTGATGTTACTAGTTGGCTAATGATAATTAAGCCATTAAGGTGTGGCTAAGGAGACAGGAAGTGATGTTTACACAAAGATCTGATGCTAAGGAATGTCTAATAAAAATTATAAGAGATCTATGTTTTGGACTGGGTCAAAACATCAGGCCAAAACAGATTACCCTAAAAATCAAAATGGAGTCACCCATGCTAAAATTCCAGGTCAACAAACCCAAAGTAAGTTGTATGACTTTTGGGTAAAGAGATAACACCCAATTTCCCAAACTGGGACATTTAAAATCTGCTTCAAAAAAATAAAAACTTCTAGTTATGAGAAGCTGCCTCAAATCTGTCTCCCTGACTAACAGAGATCATGGCTTTAAAGGCGGGGCCATCTGCCTTGGGGCAGGTGGGAGAGGATAGTGAATCCTGGAATGAGTAAGTCTTCCCTCAGGCCTTCAGAATCTCAACTCCATTATCTTTTAGAAAGTCCTTCCTTTCAGGGAAGGGTGGTGGCTCTAACCCATAATCCCAGCACTTTGGGAAGCCACGGCAGAAGGATCTCTTGAGGCCTACAGTTCCAGTCCATCATTTCTTGGAAACCACTCAAGTAGTTAATTAAGAGGATTATAAAAGACCTATGGAGGGTCCTGGAGCTAATTATATTTTGAAAGATCTGGTAACCATGAAGCATACTCTGCCTTCATCATGGAGCCCTGAGTGTCATGAGTAAGTCCTTTCCAGGTCTGAGCTCTACTCTCTTTTGCACTTGAGCTCCCTGGTATTTCGGGCTTTGGGGGTATCAAGGTTAGTGTGTGTTGGGGGAGGGCACATGACTTTTGGGTTTGGGTAGCTCATACCTGTTTGTCTTGTGTTGTTTCTTTTCTTTTCTTTCTTTCTTTTTTTTTTTTTTTTGTTGTTGAGACAGAGTTTCACTTTGTAGCCTTTCGGTAGAGTGCTATGGCATCACAGCTTATAGCAACCTCAAACTCTTGGACTTAAGCAATTCTCTTGCCTCAGCCTCCCAAGTAGCTGGGACTACAGGTGCCCACCACAACGCCCGGCTATTTTTTTTGTAGTTGCAGTTGTCAATTGTTGTTTAGCAGGCCCAGGGAGGGTTCGAACCCCCCAGCCTCAGTGTATGTGGCTGGCGCCATATGTTTGTGTGTGTTTTATTTTGAGACAGGGTAAAGTGCCAGGGCATTAGCCTAGCTCACAGCAACCTCAAACTCTTGAGCTCAAGGAATCCTCTTGTCTTGGCCTCCTGAGTAGCTGGAACTACATACACTCATAACAATGCCTGACTAGTTTTCCTATTTTTTGTGTGTGAGGGGGCTTGCTCTTGCTCAGACTTGGTCTTGAGCTCCTGAGCTCAGGTGATTTACCTGCCTTGGTCTCCCAAAGTGCTAGGATTATGTGTGGTTTCATAAAAGACATGATGCTGAACATGGTGTTTCACACTTGTAATCCTAGCAGTTTAGGAGGCCAAAGCAGGAGGATCACCAGAGACTAGGAGTACAAGATCAGCCTGGGCAATATAGTGAGGCTACATCTTTATAACTTTTTTTTTGTTGTTTAAATTAGCTTGGTGTGGTGCACATCTATAGCCCCAGTTACTGGGGAGGCTGAGAGAGGAGGATCCTTTGAGCCCAGGTGGTAAAAGTTATAGTCAGCTATGATTATGCCATTTTAATGCTCAACATCAGAGCAAGACCTTGTTTCTAAAAAATTAAAATTGGCCAGGCGTGATGGCTCACACCTATAATCCTAGCACTCTGGGAAGTGGAGGTGGGTGGATCATTTGAGCTCAGGAGTTACAGATCAGCCTGACAAGAGAGAGATTATGTTTCTACTAAAAATTGAAAAACTAGCCTGGCATTGAGGCCCACACCTGTAGTCTCAGCTACTCCAGAGGCTGAGGTAAGGGGATGATTTGAGCCCAAGAATTTGAGGCTGTTTTGAGATGGGACACCATGGAACTCTACCTAGGGCAATAGAGTGAGACTTTGTCTCAAACAATAATTAAAATTAAATACTCTTGAGTCAAATACTCAAGGTTTTGGCCATACAGAAATGTGGGTTGGACTCTACTTGCATAAAGGGCTGAAGTTTTAAAAGTAACTGATAGCAGTAAGTGGTTATGCAGGGGCATGATTTCTGGCTGGCTTTTGGAATTTGCTGGTATATGGGTTCTTTATTCTTGCATGCTTTGGTAAGGGAGACTTCAGATGTCTGACTGGATCAAACAGAAACTAGAAAGTCAATTAGCTAAATTGGTCAAAGAGATTTTGGAGCCATAGCTACCTTGGCTCTGATTGTCACAAGGTCCAATATAAAGATGAGATCCCTAGGCCCCACTCAGTGGCTCACACCTGTAATCCCAGCACTCTGGGAGGCTGAGGCAAGTGGATCTCTTGAGTTCAGGATTTCGAGACTAGCCTGAGCAAGAGCAAGACCTCTTCTCTAAAAATAGCCAGCTGCACTTGGCTGGATCTCAGTCCAGCTCTGTGGAGGGGTAGACTCAGCTTGTCTGCCTTGTGCCCTTCCTGCTGCAGAGCAGGAATTGCGCCTTACATGTCCCATCTCCTCAGGCCTGAACCATGCGGGTAGAGCATTCCTATTCTGGAAAGCCTCTGTCAGAAGCCCTGCATAGAGACCCAGAGGAAGCCAGTGTATCTAGGCCCAGGGTTGGGGGGTAGACAAGAGAAGACTGGGGGCTGCTCAGCCCTGCACATTGGACCTTGTACCATGACTTGATACTGGCGACCTTCAAGCATCTGGTCACCATGGGGCTTTGAATCTCTAAACCAGATAGATTTGTCCAGATGAAAATTGGAGCAGAGCCTTGGATGATAGATAAAGGACTGCCCCAAGATCCCTACCCAGGGTCTTAATCTGGGCCTAGGCTAGAGTACTATGGCTTCATCATAGCTCATGCAACCTCAAACTCCTGGTCTCAAGAAATCCTACTACCTCAGCCTCCTAAGTAGCTGAGACTACAGGCAGGTACCACCATGCCAGTCTGATTATTTTTGTTTTTGTAGCAATGAGGTCTTACTCTTACTCAGGCTGGTCTTGAAATCTGAGCTTGAACTGATGCTCCTGCTTTAGCCTTCCAAAGTGCTAGGATTACAGGTGTGAGCCACTGTACTTGGCCAATCTTATTGTTTTTAGTTTGAGGAAAATGGAATCTTTTCATTTTTATGCTAACAATACTTTTTAAAATGCACAAATTTTCAATTATGTATAGTTAAAAATTACTGGATAAGTATACGTATTTGTGTAGCCATCAACCAAGATGAAATTGAGGACATTTTTATTATCCTTTAAGGTTCTCTTTTTACCACTTTCTGTTTAAAAAGGGCAATTACTGTTCTTATTTTTTTCCACCATAGATTGTTTTTGCCTCTTATAGAACTTCAGAGAAAAGAAATTATACATTATTTCTTTTGTGAAAGACTCCACCTAAGATTTTTGAGATTCATCCATGATGTTGTGTGCATCATTATTTTGTTCCTTTTTACTGCTGAGTAATATCTTTTTTTGAGACAGAGCCTCAAGCTGTCACCCTGGGTAGAGTGCTGTGGCATCACAGCTCACAGCAACCTTCAACTCCTGGGCTCAAGTGATTCTCCTGCCTCTGCCTCCCAAGTAGCTGGGA